TGTGTGTGTGTGTGTGTGTGTGTGTGTGTGTGTGTGTGTGTGTGTGTGTGTGTGTGTGGTATATCGCGTATATATATGTAAATACATTATATACAGCGACAATATCGATGATAATGATGAATTTGGTGCCGCCCTACACACTCGGGATATTATTACACAAAAGTAACGAAACAACTCGTGATTCACACCACTGCCTTCGATTTCTACGTCAATAATCTTTTCCTCTTCTTTTCTTTCTCTTTCTTTCTCTTTCTCTCTCTTTCTCTCTCTTTCTCTCTCTTTTTCTCTCTTTCTCTCTTTTTCTCTCTCTCTTTCTTTCTCTCTCTTTCTCTCTCTTTCTCTCTCTCTCTCTCTCTTTCTTTTCTATTCTTCTATTTCTCTTTTTTTTCCTCTTTAACATTTTATTTTCTTGCATTTAACACGTCAGTTATATTATATCAGACCGCATCAAATACACGATTCTTATATCTGTACAAAAATTATTATTCGACTTTATTACATCAGATTCATCGTAAATCATGATTTTTCCGTACGAATGGTAGATTACTACTTATGCGACATAATTCTCAGCAAAGAGTTCTGACAGCGTAAATTGTTACTAAATCTTTAGCATATTTGTATAAAAAAAGAAACGCGCAAGATCTCTAAATACTTAAAACTTCGACGTACCTTCGAAAGCGAGTTTCGCGATATCTCTCTTTAGCTACTGGATATAAATATATCTGGACCATGCTCAGGACGACCTGACAAAAACAATTTGTAAAAAGCGTATAAATATCTCATCGAAACATAAAAGCAAAATATGCTTTTACAATAAAACGTAGTTTCTGTAATATTCGCAGGAACAATCGATAGATGCTGCAAGACACGTGAGATTATATCGTTCTAAGCTCATGTAATGTTTTGGTAAGCGTGTAATAAAAAAGAAAAAGAGCAAGATATAGAAGGCGAGAAAAAAGAAGCAACATTTTTTGGGTATAAAAAGCCCGTAACGTTTGTGAATGTTATTTTAAAACGATAAATTTCATTAAATATTTTATTACTACATTCTTAGTAATTCTCAATCACGGAGAATACTACGTACAATGAATTTGCTTCGAAAAACACACAATTGTTATTTATATGATTAAATTATTAAGGAGAAAGTATAAAATCAATATTTATCTTCGTCGGGAAAATTTTATCACTTTCTAATATTTTTGAACTCTTGCTAAGTCAATCGATATTTGAATCGATATCGAAGAACCGAGGGAAAAAAGTAAGTTAATTAGAATAACTATTCCATGAATTCGTAAATATAATATGTATATATGTACATCGTATATACAATACTTCGACTATCAATTCGTAGCTCTTTGTTTCCTTGTTCGGTGATAAAAAAAAAGAAACCAAATGTGTTTTTGATCGTCTATTAATGTAATGAATTACATTTTTATCGCACAATCGCAGTTCTCTCTTACCGCTCAACAATCTCTGTGTGATTAATTAATTATCGATTACTGTACGGATTATTTTATTTATAGTTTTTCGAATTTCTCTTTCTTTTCCTATGAGCCGAGCAAATTTTGAACAATATTTTCTTTATTGCGATAAAGTCCAACTTATTATCGCACGAAGGTATAATCGTTTATCGGTTTGAGCAATTATTAAAAATTTACTAAGCTACCATAATTATGTTTGTCTCTTTTTAATACAATCGTCGATAACTGAGACATATCTTTCTTTTTATTTTATTTTTTATTTATTTATTATCATTACTATTATTTTTTTTATTTTTTTTTTTAAGAGAATTATTATCTCGCTTAATGCGTGTAATTGGTATTAGTTTCCATTACGAACAATATTTACTATGTACGATGGTCGGTTTATAATTTAAATATCTAACGCAATCTCTTCGAATAATAGAAAAATCAAATGTTTTCTCAAATGTATGAATCGATTTTTAAAAGTGTATTAATCGATAAATAAATCGTGCATGGCAAAAAATACGTACCACTTATATTATCAACAATCCCATCTTTATCCTTACACTTTTAAAATATGCGGTTATGAACTTTTTATCATCCTTACAATTATTAAAATTATGATATTGATCCTTTTAAACAATCCTTAGAAATATTTTTGATAATATTTTTATTAATAAATTAAATCGTACATTTTTAAAGTGACATTATATTAAGGGTTAAATAGTTGAACCGTTTATTTTGAAATTTGCATAAGTCCACTTATGTTAGAATCGAGATATTGAAGGGTTTGCGTTGGATTAAATTTAAAAATATAAATAACAAATGACATAGTAGAATGTTTTTCGGTTTCTAAATTTGTCAAATTTATCACCCAATTAGCATAATTAACATTATTTAAGAAATAATGTTTTTGATGGCTATGATTGGACTTAGGCCACTTTCAAAATCAATGAAATGACGTGTTCAATTCTTAAGCATAAGTCCATAGGAAAAATAAGTTTTCCTTGAAATAAAAATAAATGTATACACTTTTATGTTACAAAATAAAATATATTTAACTTTTATTCTTTGTTAAATAGTTTTTACATAAAAATTAATATTGTTTTCTTAATTACTAGCAAAGCTAGCCAATTTTTGAAAAAATGGGGTTGCGATTTATTTTATGTTATCTTGATTGTTATTTTTACTACAGAAAATATCAATAAATAACATCTTCTAAAAAAATATTAAAAGAAAATAAACGGATGTTATATAAACGTATGTGCTACAATATATACAAATATGTGCTTGAACGTGTTTTTTGTGTGCTAAATGCTTCCTTTTAAATTTCTTTCTTTCAGAAAGAATAAAAAGTTCAGAAGGAAAATAAAATTTTGCAGGAGGAATTTAAAATAACTATGATATGCATAATGTAATAAATCCATTAAGTTCTTGTATTTTAGGTTTGTAAATGGTCTAGTTTTTTTGTATAGTAATGCAAACTTGATATTATTAACATTATTTAGGAAATAACATGTTTTTGATAGCTATGATTGGACTTAGGCTACTTTCAAAATAAACTTTTTCATCACTTCATTAATCAGCAAATTTTCGTGTTACCAAATCTTTATGAATTTAAATATATTAGTAACAAGTATCTTCTTACAGAATGGAAAGATCATGTAAAAATGTAACTATTTTGGCAGCTAACTAGATTTTCTTGAAAATGGATTTAGGCCACTTTCAAAATAAAAGGCTTAATTGTTTACTATTAATAAAAAAAAAAAGAATTTATATGCTACCTTATAATTAGCTTTGAAATAAAAAAAAACTAATTCGATCGAGTCAGATTTAGAAAATATTGATAATTTCGATGATGAAAGTAATAATAATGATAAAAAAAGTGAAAAAATAAAACAAGATGAAGGGAGGGATGTTTAGAGATTGTGAACGGCGCTTAAAGCGCAGCTCTCCTTGTCTATATAGGTTCGTGTATTTTACAAAGTCCGTGGGGTGCTTCCGGTAAGCCCCGTAGCCAGCGGCACTTTCTCGGCTCCTTCGCGACGCTATCGGTCGCATGGTAGGGGCGAACACAGTGGCGGCTTCAGAGGCGATAAGGTCCACGGTCCATCCCCACCCTTTACGCGCGTCGTTACACCTCGATCTGTGTTTCTCTTTATGTCAAGAGAAATAGAGAGAGAGAGAGAGAGAGAAAGAAAGGGGAAAAAAAGGAGAGGGGATATCACGGACCGGAGGAAACAACGACAGCGACGATGCCGGGCAGCATCGAAACAAGGGCGGAGAAGAAATTGGAGGGGGAAGACATCACGGCGGACAAGGACGCCATATTGAATCACTCTGGTTAATTTTTCCGCAGGGGAAGCATAAGCGAGTGAGCAAACGAGCGAGGAAAAAAAAAGAAAATATGAAAGTAAGAGAAAAAGAGAAAAGTGGACAAAGGAAATAGTTTTGCGTAATTTCGACAAAGGACAAAAAATCGTTTGGTGTGGATTCCCTTCGTGCTTACAATTTCGTGTTGTGATAGAAAAAAGACATTCATATTTTCGTGTTTCCTCGCTTGCTCTTTTACTATTCCCTTTCTCTTGTCCTCTTTCCACCTATTTATCTATCCTTTTTCATTCGTCGGAAGAAGCGCGCGTAAGAGAACACATAAACCGGCCACGGCAGCGTGGCGCTGCTCTGGCATCGTAGTCCATTCTTCCGTCTGTTTGTCCATCTGTTCATTCGTCGAACAATTCGTCCATCAGCCTGTCGGTATGTCGATCCTCTCTCTCGGTTTTAGCAGTTAGGCGCGTCGCGCGGCGCGACGCGATGAACGACCTGGCGATGCGCGAGCATGCACATAAGAAATTCACGCGCGGAAATTCTACGATCCCGACGACAATTACTGGATAATGAACTGTGTCTTGTGTATTACATTTTTTTTTCTTGTGTAACTAAAAAACGAAGTTGACTGATCTATTCATGGACGCTTGTGCATCTGTGTTTCTTCTACTTTGTGGACCGACTTGTACAGGAGAGGGAAAGAGAGAGAGAGAGAGAGAACGTATACGACGAGCATGTTATGTATGCCCGTGCAACGTGTAAGCTATTGTATATGAACATGATTGTGAATTATTCTATCGACATTGTGTCATAAAAACGAGCGTGTACCCCGATCATAATGTGATATTGATGGTGTAGCATCGTTTAATGCAAGAAGAAGATGGAAAAGAATTAGAAGAAGTTAGACTAAAAACATTCAACCGATTAGCCGGCTCTTTTTTTTTTACATACGTTTACCTGTTCCCTTGCATCTTCTGTAATCGATTTACATACATACTCGCTTGGTTTATTTCTCTGTGTATGTATACGTATTCTAAGGATTACTGAGCACTTAGCCTAACGGATTTTCAGGTACGTCATATTGCTATTATTATTAATTATTATTCTTCTCTATTAGAATTAAATACCATTTGGCATTACATTTCGGAGTCAATGGGATCGATCGAACAAATTTTATATATATATATATATATATATTTTTGGTATTATTCTTACTATATTATTATTGTTTAACACTACTACTATTACCAACATTAAAATAAAGTGGTCCTGCCAAACTCTCGTTATATATATATATATATATGCATGACATACGAAACAATCGAGATGGCGAGCAGCGTTACTCTTGAAAATGGAGTAGATTCAACGATTGTTTTAAGTTACCAAACGCGCAAGGCCGATCTCGTGGTCAAGAGCCACGCGTTACAATGCTCCTCTCTTTCTCTCTTTCTTTCTCCCTCTTATTCCTCTTTCTCCCCTCTCTTATGTATATAAGATTTTTCTTTTCTTTCTCGTAGAGGAAGATCGAAAAATGCGATCAAACTTCTTTAATGCTGTTTAGGATCGTCCTTGAATGGTCGGACTCTTTGGAGTTTCTTTCCCCTTCCCTCGCTATTCTCTCACGCAACAGCGGTCGACGTACGATCGTAAAATGTCCGATACTCCGCATCGATATCACTGAACAAGCTCTCCAATTTTCTTCTGTGCATATTTTCTTATGATCTTCAATATATCTCCTTCTTTACCCAAATTTTCATAATTTCCAAACTTTCGCTTTCAAAATCAATACCAATTGAAATATCAATTTTTTTTCTCTAAATAAGGTGAGAAATTATTGAAGACCAGTTAAGGAGACATTTACTCGTTACTTAAAATTTTGACTCATTCCAAATTAAATTTCTTCGAAAACATTAAATTATCATTCAAAGTGGTGAGCTTAGTTTCAGAAATTGAGGAAAAAATAGTTGTCATTTTCTTAAGTTGTTATTAAGTTTTAATAGTGTCTATTCCATTAAGTATGGTTAAAAGACGGAAAGGAGAAGAGAGAGAGAGATAGAAATAGATAGATAGATAGAGATATGAGTCTTTCTCAGCGAATTGAGAAGCATATTACAGTTTTGGACAAAAGTCACGTGATGCCTAAGCCTAAGAAGCGGGAAATCTAGAATAGAAGAGAAACTAGCTTTTTTCGTGTCGTTGACATAAAAGCTGTGTAAACAATGCAAATTATGATGACAGTGACAATAGTAAAGATGACAAGAACGCCGAATGCTAATGACAATAGTTTAATCGTTGGGCCATTCCTCAACTCGCAAGTATGACATTCGTTTCTATGTGCGCACCTCGTGCTCCAAAGAAAGGAGGAAGCGGAGAAATAGATGTCGCGAACAGAGGTCGTGACGAAAAGCGAGGTAAATCGTGAGAGTAGTAAGGTAGAGGGGAGGGAGAGAGATGATGGTGGTAGGGGGGAAGAGAGAGAGATGCGTGAACGGATAGCAAATTCGTTGGAAAACCGTTGCACTTCTCTTCTCTACGCGCTCGTCCACATCTCGTTGCTGCTCTTGCAAGCTAGCAGTGGGAAGGCCCAGGCGAAAAATCGATTTCCCGTAGGGCAGAAGGGCATCCGAGAATTGGTAGGGAAGGGGTAGGCAAGGGCGAGCAGGCAAGGGAAAGGTACTGAGACGAAATTCGGGAAAATCTGCAGAGAAGAGAGTGGGAGTCAGAGTTGGAGAAGTAGTAGTGCATTACGATGAATATGAGGTGGCAGAGGAGAAGGGTTGAGAGTGGAAGGTGTTGTGGCGAGGGGTAGAGAGTGGAAGGGATTGAAAACAGAGGGGTTGGCGAAGAGAGACAAACAGACAGAGACAAATATATTGCTTTCCAGTGCGATTCCGGTGCCACCACCACTGTAGGATGTCGGCGGCGGGCACGCGCGTGTGTAGGTGAGTAGCCGAGTCTCGTTTGTGGCGACGGGGTAGACAGTGTGTGTTTAGACGGGGTGGGAGGAGAAATAATTAATGTGCGAGCGTACCTCTCTCCCTTCTGGGTACTATGATGAGAAGGAGAAGGAAGAGGTGGAGGTGGAGGTGGAGGTGGTGGTGGTGGTGGTGGAGGCAACCCCCCTCCCCTTCCATGATCTTATACAGCTACGCTTAGAGCTGCCATTGTGCAGAGACGACGCTTTCGAAGCATCGAATTCGATTCTTCTCGATCGCCATTCGTAAGGTATATACACGCGAGGAAAGAACAAATCTAAACTGTACAAGAAAAAGAGAGAAAGCTGCATGATGTGCGCGCGCGCGTTTGTCTACTTTGTCGAACAAAACCCTGGACGACACGTCGTCGTGTATCGATATCTTCTTTGAAGGAATCGCGTCGTGTGACATCATGTAAATTGTCGCTTAGTTCTTCGATAACGAGAAAACTACGAAAGTTAGGTTAGAATTCTACATTTGTGAATACACATCTCTCTTTCCTTCTCTTATGTGCTAGCTTAGCGGTTTACTTTGCTTTCTACATTTCAATTTAGTCATATTACTCTTCTTCTTCGTTTTTATCAAAATATTTTTGTCTACTATAAAATCATATGAACCTTCTGTGTTATCTCTTCACGTACGATGTTTGTATATTTAGAGATTGCTGTTTCTAAATAACGAAAAACTATTAAAAATTCGTTCTCTTACCGTACACATATGAGATTATTGCAGTGTTGCTGGGTAATTATACTCATTTTTCTTATAATTGTTCGGATAACCATGAACATCAATAGTATATTGGAACATTACGTATATCACTTAATTTACGTAATTACTCACCAATTGTTTCTTATCATTCTATGAAAATGTTAGTTTAAGCTATAATATTGTTAATTTGCGCATGCGCCACTATTATTAATAAATATGCTTTTTGTAGATTCACTGTGCTTAAAGGAATGGAAACCATGGAGTTAGATGGTGATGCTGTAGTAGATCTTAGTGTAAGGTAAACAAACTTCCATTAAAACTTATATATTTATTGTTAACTAAGGAATATTAGTCATTGATGATAAGATTCCTTTGTTGATATTTTTGTTGTAGAAGCATAATTAGAATAGAATACAGCTGTATAGATAAACATGTTAGATTTTTGATAAACTATTATTTTTATTTTAGTAGCAGTGGCAGGAGAAATTCCCCATCAGTAAATGCAAATTCAGGTGATGTAGGTGTACCTTTGGACCTTGGAATTCATTTTGCTGCAAATCCTAATTCTAATCCTTTGGAAAGCAATGTGCTAGAAGCACGTAATATTCAAAATGCAGCAAGAGGTATATTGGGTCCAAAAACAGGAGATGATAGGAGGACTCGACGTAATCTTAGACCAAGAATTGAAAGAAGTTATGCGGAGAGTCCTGATGAACCTAGAATAAATGGATTTTTAAATGGAAATGGTTCATCAGATAGCGATGAAGGTTATATGTTATTTTATATATCAAATAGGTTTACAATGTTATTGAATATTCTTTTAATAAATAAAATTACAAATAATATTTCTTTAAACACAGTTGAAATGCCACCATTACTTCCAATCAAAGAACTGTCTTCAGACGAATTGGCTGAACGTGAAAGGACATTAAGAAAGTTGAAGGAAGAATTACGATCAGAAGAGATGAAATTGGTTCTGCTAAAAAAGTTGAGACAGTCTCAACAATTAAAAGAAAATATAGCAGCAGTTCCCAAAGTTCCCAGCAAGTTGCCACCACCAGTGACAGTACAACCAACGCCTCATGGGTAAAACTCTACTGCAATGTTTTCTTCCAAGAATATAGTTTTATATATTGCCATGTTAAATTGGGATAACAATGGATTACAGACATAGAACAGGGAAAGCACCACCACCGTTGCTTAGAGGACAACCAGCACCAAGTAGAAGTAGTAGTCTCCATGCACCACCACCTGGAATGCTGTTACCACCTACAACTGGACGAAGTTCTACTTCAAGTACTGGAATGCCTCCTAACATGGTAATACCTCAACCACCACATCCTCGAGGTAGACCACCTAGTGCAACGCCAAGTGTCCCAACTTATCATGCTCCAGCTGATAGGACTGAACGTTCTACAAAAGATCCTACCCCTACTCCAGCACATCAAGTAAGTACAATGATTATGATAATTAATTACAAGAAGATTTTTTCTATTGACATTGTAATTTAAAACTAATGGCAATTCTTATATTTTATATAATGTGAATATTTTACCAAGTTTTTTAAAACATAAAAAAATTGAACAATTAGAAAGTTGCCAATAGTTTGTAATATGCATCTTTAATTAGATAAATATAAATGATACTTTCATATCTTATAAATAACAATAAAATTATTGTAAATTCAAAGCTACTTGTTGGATCTCAAGAAAATAAAACCACAGCATCTTTAAATACGCCCGTAATTTCGGAACAGGTATATCCATTGTCTGACTATACTCGCTGTATGATCAGATTGACTTTTTGCAATTCTTATACAATTTCTACCTGTCCTCCTTTCTGCTCTTATTCTGTATGTGTGTTCTCTTTCTCTGCTTTATTGATCTTCATTTTCATTCTATAATGTTTTTAACAAAAGCTTTTATATATCAGCCTGAAATCTATAGCTACGTATAATTCTATGATATTGCATCATTAATATATTATTACAATAAAATATGATTGCTATTGGATTTTTTTCATTATGTTTAGAACTAATAATGTGTTATGAATATATAGGATAGATCGAGAGAAGATAATCAAACACCGGCGCAGCGGCAGGCTGCTGCTAAGTTGGCTTTAAGAAAACAACTAGAGAAAACTCTTTTGCAAATACCACCGCCAAAACCTCCACCACCGGAAATGCATTTTGTACCAAATCCATCGAATACAGAGTTTATTTATCTTGTTGGCTTGGAGCATGTGGTCGATTTTATTACGAAAGAACCTGCTATACCACCCCCTCCTGAGCCATTTGAATGTACACAGTGTAAAACAGATTTTACGCCTGTTTGGAAGTGGGAAAAACCAGTAGGTAGTGGGAAGAAAGAAGGTCCACGTGGACAACATGCCACGTTCCAACGACCTCCAGCAGGTCGAGATCCTAGAGTTATCTGTGAACATTGCGTGACATCCAATGTTAAGAAAGCTCTCAAAGCAGAACATACAAATCGGTGAGTATATTTCTTATGCTTATCAATACTTGTAACATTTTTTTAAAATTAACTCCTTTTACTACGATTTAACACATGAAGTCGGTGAAAACAGTAGCTCGCACCTCGATTCATGTAAGCAGTTTAGTGAAACATTTAGATATGTCTTAAACACATGAATGTTAACAGCATTACATTTATTACTATGAAACTTATAAAATCTGAATAATTACTATAAATATATTTTGTACATATATATAAATAAACATGTATATATATATATATATATATATATATATATATATATATATATATATCATGAGAAAACAAAGACTTNTATATATATATATATATATATATATATATATATATATATATATATATCATGAGAAAACAAAGACTTTTGAGATATATAATAGTACTATATATATATATGAGGTACTGCTATAAATTCATCTCATGACGAGTATACTAGTCATGCGTAAAAAGTAGTGATCATTTGCTATTTAAATTGTAATTTTTGTGAAAAACTAAACATATTTTCAAATTTCAAGATGAGTCAGAAAAAATTTAAGATTTATAAATTAGTATTTTTTTTTTATTTTTAGTTCATTTTATCTTCAAAATGAGCAATTTTAATCTCGACTTGTCATCGGTCGGTGTTCACAACACACAGCGGTGCACACTTTCAAAACGGAGCGCCACAGTTAATTGGTTAAAAATCCATGTATATAAAATATTTAGCCGACCGACCAGGGATATCTCTCATGTTAACCTTAGCAACGCTTTTTTTTTATATTTGCGAATATTGTATAATGTAGAATTACATAAATTGGCATGCTTTAAACGATACCACACGGTAAAAAAATATTAAAATTCATTATTATTGCTCTATTTTACGTTTGGTTTATTTATCTTAAGTCATTTTTAATATTCATAATTTTCAAACTATTTTATCTATATTTTTTAAATAATCTTCAAAAAATAATTGTTATATACTTTTAATTTAATATTTTGTATAAAAAATAAATGAAATTAATAAACAAATTGCTGTTTACATACCATTACAGCTCGCTGCAGTATGCGTAGTCGTGGCTAATGATCCATACATTTGCCATTTATGTATTAAAAAAAAACTACATGGACTTATATATGGTCAATCTATATGTTCTATAATGTTCTTTACAGATTAAAGACCGCTTTTGTGAAAGCTCTACAACAAGAGCAAGAAATTGAACAAAGGCTTGCTCAAGCAGCATGTCCAAGTCCAGATCCACCAGCTCCTAAATCAGTTCCAAAAGCGGCAACTCCTACCAGGAGAATAGCGACACCTCCTGCTCCTCCTCCTCAGGTGCCACCAGCACCTACGCTTACACCAACACCACCTGCACCTAAGCTGCAAGAACATCCGTTAGTTAAACTGGCTGAAAGTGGAAAATTTAGTCCTCATCATGCGGCTACTGCAGCTGCTTTACAACAACAATTATTAAGAGGTAAATAAATTTAACTGCAAACATCTATAAAAATATCATTTAAATATTTATCTCTTTATAATTAATTTTTCTTACAAATTGCTCTATTTCTTAGAACTTGCAAAGACTCCAGTGACAAGCATACCACATCAGCCTCTTCCTGCCCACATGATGCCCCCGTTTACTTCTATTTTATATCCATATCAGTTAGCAATGGCACAGGCAACTGGAGGTAAAGGTCTTGCAGAGTTGCAACGGCAAGCAGCAGATCTTCAACGTCAGTACCTGCTTGATATGATTCCATCGCAAGCATCACAAGCACAGGGCAACCAAGCTCCACCAAGAGCTCATCCACATAATTGGAAAACGTAACCGAACGCATTTAAGGAAAGAACAATAAATCCAAGTAAATAATTATAATAAACGGAGTAACGAAGTAATTAAAGAACGAGGAAAAGGTTCATGGTTATTGAGAGAGATACGATATGTCACTAATATCACGTTGTTGTGATTGGGAATATTGTGATATATCAATATGTTTTTGGTATATCGCTCATTAAATGATAAGGAAGTATAAGATATAATCCAAGAAATATGTAAATGATTACGTGATTCTTCAAGTAACGAATTAACGTTTTGTTTTTTATTAACGAACAATTCTAATATTGTTCGATTTGTTTCAAAATTAATAAGTATCGACAATGATATCTTAAAGATTAATTGAAAAGCAGCATTATGTTTTAATTTTAATATTACAAGAAGTGTCTCCTTTTGATATTACTCTGCATCGATATTGGATATTTTACCAAAAAAACGGATAAAGACGTAATTAATACGTAATGTTAATCACACGTATGTAATATCTGAATAAAGTGAAAATAAGAAAACAAATGAACACTTGTTAAGGCACTAAGAGACGGTAATAAGTGGTATATAATAATATCGATGCATCGATTATTGAAAATGAATAATCTGAGTTACAAAAGTGAAAAATGATTGCGTTGCAGTAAATTGAAATTGAAGCTAAGAATCATTTTAGGCTCTTATAATTAAGCCTATCTTTGCCACTGGATTGAATAAATTATTAACCAGTGGCAGGGGGTACCTGTACTATGTGTATATCTCTTTATTTTCTTTAATCGTGAGTATTTTTAAGGCGAATACATTGCATGTGTGAGAAACAGATATAGAAAGAAAGAGAGAGTGTATGAATTATAGTTATAAATAATAATCTTTTCAAGGAAATGTGTGTGAAAGAATAATAAGCGAATATGTGAGCGATAAGAAAAATTTTTTTTTGCCAATATGTGGCAGAGTATGTGCATCGATATGTTTTTAATAGAATGACAGAAATGTCATTCACGCACAAATCTAATAAGAATTTCCATGTATGGCAAATCGGCTAAAAAGTTTTTCTTCATCAAGAAGGTACATCAAGACGATACATTGTGACTCGGTAAAATTTTTTTATTCATAAACTATGATTAATGAATTTGGAAGAAAGGAGCATACCGACAAAGAGTCAAATTTTCACATTATGATTGTTTTGATGTGCCACAATTCATATAAAAATATTAAAGTCATCAACAAGACGTGTGCATAATCGCAATTTTTCGAAGTGTTAAGGTGCGAGATAAAAGAAAAAAAGGGTCTGGATTTTTAGTCCTCTATAAAAAAAAAGGAAAAAAAAGAAAAAAAAACAAGTTTGCACATATAACAGTTAAACCCTCTGGCACTCATCCCGAGCAATACTATTAATTATTATCACCTTCGCTAATAGCCTAATTTCTATGACTCTGGCTAACAAATCTTGGTCATACATTTCTGAATCAATAAATAAATAGTACTATACTGTAGTCTTGATATTTCTCGGTATTATGATACATACAAGTTAATAAACTAAAATAGCATAATCATCTCTCTTTGTATTACGTGATAGGTTTTGAGCTCGTACTGATATACATGTACACCATAATAAGTCTACGATCGCATAATAGATCAACATCTGTGTTTTTTGTGTAAGAGAATTGAAAGAATATGTCGTCACCTGCACTGTCGCCAGTGATACTACTGCTGCCACCTTTCTATCATCAAACATGATTATTTCAAATCAGTGTCATGCAAAGAGAGGAGAATAGGAGAACACGATTTTTAATTTACATATACATGCAGTCAAAAATGTACTTGTAATTTAATGCATTTATTGTAGATTACTATTAATTATTTTGTAAATTAATTATTTCGTTATTTTTTTCATTAGTTTATTAAAAGAGGTTCTAAAGTCTTATTCAACAATGGTCAATTAACTAACCGTTTCGTTTTCGCGTTCTCCTCTTCCTTGTGAGAGCGTTGTTATTTAATGATAAATATGTTTTTATTGAAATGTGTGATCCTTAAAAAATAGAGTAATTTTAATGTGATTGAAAAGAATTTAATGATATTAAGTACGTAACGTTCTACAATTGTTCAATCATAATTGAGGGTCTTATTCGATATTGATCATTTCACTATACTTTTTTTTGACTGTTTCTTTTTCCTTTTTTGTCTAGTCTGAATTTTCGGTTCTATGTAGTGTTATTAGGAAGTAATACACTAGAAAGCCAAGAGAGATATTTGCTTTTGATAAATATGATAATCATAACAACAAATACAAAATATAAGAACAAAAAACTAAAAATACGATAACGAGATAGTGTGCAACGTTAACACATGCCAATTGCATTGGGTTGTGCAGCATTCGATGGCGGCCAAAACAAACGAACGGTATCGCAGGATTAGAATGTTAAGGTATTCTTCAAAAAAGCGCTATACAATCGAAAGCTTCATGGGAGAAAGGGGAAGAGTAAGAGGAGGGGGATGCAGACTTATAAATAAAATTGAACAAAAAATTTAAAAGAAATCAGGTTGTGTAAAAGCTCTCGGAAGCTAAACTACTACTACTATTACTACTACTACTACTACTACTACTACTACTACTACTACTACTACTNCTATTACTACTACTACTACTACTACTACTACTACTACTACTACTACTACTACTACTACTACTACTACTACTACTACTACTATTACTACTATTACTATTCTATTACTACTACAATTACTATTACTATTACTCGGCCCAATATCGAGATTGCGTTACGATATGATGAACGTACGAAATCTTTTGAAAAAAATCGACACGTCGTAGGAAAATTAAAACAATTGTCCAGTCCAAATTTGTATTTCGGCCTTAATGGAAATGTAGGCGTATAAAATGCAGATGAAGGACTCTGCCCCCATAAACTTATATAATTAGTTATTACGGATTACTGAATAGTCTGAAAATAACACGAATAAAGCTTGTCAATGATTGTACCTAAGAGTAATTAATATTCATTTATACTGTATGTATGCATATATTTACATAACACACGCACAAATAAATACATATACTCGTTGATTAGTATCTATACAAAAATTTCGGATAAAAGTGAATTTTAATGTACTTACAATGTTAATATTTTTGTGTTTGTGATTATCAAAAAAAAAAAAAAAGAAAGAGAAAAATTGAGTGAAGACATAAAACACCAAACCAAATTCAATCGAACAAATTCTTGTTAAATCAAACTAAACAAAAACTATTTTAGGAGTCTTATAAACAAAACTATGATTTCTCGTCTCTCTGATAAAGAGCCTATACATATCTTAACCATTTCCAGAACACTTTATTGATTTTCAATGATGAATATCTGATACTCGATAACTTCGCGACAGTATTTTCAGTAAATTCTTTTTCCTCGCCCATGAAAATGATAATTTTCTGTCCCTTTCACAAATGTAGTTTGTCACGATTTCTGTTTGATAATTGATAAAATAACTTGGTCTTTAGCTATCTTAACACTTTAAGGACCGAAAAGAAATCTGTCAGACTTACGCCTGGGACCGTACGTTTTTGGGAAAATTTTTGCGTTCTAAAATTATAAATTTGTTATTTATGAAGTAATTTTTATGAAACTTTCAGACATTGTATAATAATATTTATTTTAGATATTATTGAAAAAAATTTGTTTTTTAATAATTATAATAACTTTTTTACTTAAAAAATTAATTTTTATACAATTTTTAGAAATTGTAAAATAGGATACAGTTTAGGTATTATTAAAAAATTTTATTTAAAAATAAATTTCACTATAGTTTCTAGTAGTTTTTAAAGTATGATATTCCGTGAAATATTTTTCTCTATGAAGACATAATTTTTTATTCGGTAAACATCAATAAAAAGAAAAAAAAATATCAATCAAAAACAATATTTCGCTTGCTTCAACTGAAAACAGTTTGCACAACATTTGTTTTGTTATTTTATGTTAATTATACTAGCAACCGTCATAAATATGGTATTAGTTGTCTCGAAAAGATTATGAAGTTAAGATATATATGGGGTTTCATTTAAAAAAAAAAAAAAGCTATTTCGTGATCCATCTGTAAAAGATCGGAGGCGAAACACGAGAAAACTTGTGAGCGGCCCTTAAAGCATTAACAAAGAATTTTTGTTCTCCATATCTGTACATTGGTATGGTCCCTAATCTGTTCATATGTAATCTTGGCTAAAGCTGCAGATTCATGTGGAACACCTAAGGTCCAATTTCTTATTCTCTGTTTAAATGTTATTATCAAGTCATTCAATGTCCTTGGCAAGGATCCCTCCAGATACTTAATAATTCCTGTGTATGGCCCCAAGCATGTTTCTGTTTGTAATGTTTGTAGCAAATAGTCACTTAGTAAATATAATGTGTAATTCGGTGTCTCACCGATTGTGTTTTTGTATGTAACTGTTATGTATTTTTTAGGATACTGGATAATCCAGCATTCTAGTATAGCATTTTTAATAGGACTGTAATAAAACTCTACTATATGTTGGGATAGATATCTGTTTTGGTAACTCTTCAAAGTCTTTGTCAGTGCAATGGTCACTCATATCTTATTTTTGTATCATGATTAGGTTGAACTATAAATGATTTGTTCGAGTTTATAGTGAATTTAATTGACTGGCAGTAATAATCTTCTTTCATCTATAAAAGCTTACACATGCCTGTTGTCAGTATTAAATTATCCAGATAAGAAGAGTCTCATTGTCCAACCAGTGAGAATGACTCCCAGTTATAGGGAGGCGATGACAGACTACTGTATAACAAAGTCTATCCGAGTAATCGACTGTAATTAAATAAATGTAATGCAGGATGTTCTTTGCCTTATTTATAATGTATAATACAGTTGAAGCTTTGGATCATCTTGAAGAGTCTATTTATAATGGTTATAAGGAATAGAGATATTGGCTATGTCTTGTGGTTTTGGTGAGTTTAAGTCAGGTATAAGTAACAACCGTTTTTCTGTGGTGATGTTAGGTACAAGTTGTGCTCTTATTAGTGCAATGGCTTCCTTTTCTAAAAAGGTAATGACTGGAAAGATTCCTTTCAGATGAGAATATTCAATTTTGATTACAGTATGCATATTTTCTTTGGTTATGGTGATAGACAGATGTTTCTGAAGATTGTTTATTTGCAATTACATCTAAACAGCTCTTATTACGAATAATAAATCACCATCAGGTGTAATCATATAAACTAAAGTGAAAATGTTCTGAAGGTCATCTGTAAAAGATGTTATGACATATAAGAAAATATTGAGTTATACGATTGCCTTTTTCTCCGTAAGTGTGTAAGCTGTACAAAGTTCTTAGATGTCTGTATTGTTTTAGGCTATCGAGCATGATGTAAAGGTTTTTGTCCTCTCCAAATATCTTTAAAAAGTAGTTAAAAGTATTTACAAAATAATTAGAATTAGAAACACAATAAAATATAAAGGATTTAAAGAATAATGTTACTTGTAGTCTATTACATTTGGCAAGATTTACAAAAGATATAGACAAAACCTCTATTGCTTTATTTTCTAGTGTGGTAATCGATAATAATTCCATAATTTGTTTAATGCTTGAGATGATACTTTCAACTTCCTCCACTTATAGGGTGCTCCTAGCTTTCAATTTAGTTGTAGATCCGAAATATGGTTTGTAAATTTCTTTGTTGTATGCTTTGTTTAAGGGGTTACGCTACCCTGGCTCTCGGAAAAATAGCCATAAATTTAAACTATTTTTTATATATTTATATAGTACTTTTATAAACAATTTACAATATTAAAAATTACAAAAAAAATGGCTGAGATATAAGCTGATATGTAGAGCCTTGATTTGAAAACCTTTACTGATGGTGTAACAGATGTTCTGAAAAAAAAAAAATAATAATTTTTTAATAATAAGGAAAGTAATGGCTAAGACCTCATTGAGGGAAAAAATTTTTAAAATTTTTTGTAGAAATAGCAGCTGTTTGAAAAAATACTTCAAATATTTTTTGAAATTTTGAGTTTAAAAAATGAATTACTTTTGAACATGACACCCAACAAAAAAAAACAGTTCGATAAGGTCTTAGACAATCTTATGAAGTGTAATTACTATAATTTTCAAACAAATCGGTTGAAATATTGAGATATCGTGTTCACTGTTTTGAAAAAAGTAGTTTAGAGAAAAACGCAAAAGAAAAAAAAGTACGACGTAAGCTTTTTTAAATCAAATTTTTGTTTAACACTTTAAGTGCCACATCAGTCCTTACAGATCGACGGTAGACTTTCCATTTAGGCCACGTTGGTCCCTAGAGGACTGACGGCAGACTTATCGTCAGTGATCCCATTCGTACGATAATTTGAAGCCTTGTACGATCCAAAATTCTGCCTGTACGATAATTTTCGATTTTATGGTAATTATCACTGTCCAATTTTGAATTTCGAAAACTTGATGACCTTTTTTTTTGTCTCTTTCTCCCTGCTGTACGCCGTATTTACGATATTTACTATAGGTTTTTTGAACTTGAAGACTAGAAAAAAAGGTCATCAACTTGGCAATTTTCCGGTGTGTACGATAATTTTACGCCCCTGTGTCGATCAGACGAACAAAAGTCTCTGGGATCACTGCTTATCGTTCTTCTATCGCAGTGCGTGTGTCGGTCCTTGCGTACTTGTGAGACTGAACATTTAAATTATGTGATATCGGTTTTTTTTGGTCAATGCTTCAAGGAAAAGAATATAATACTTAAAAACATTAATGTTATTTATTAAAACAAGAGAAGCAAAGGTGAGGTTTCTGTGTACATTGGTTACAAAAGGTTGTTACTTTTTACGTTACATTTCTAGCTGTCTTTCATCCTAATATTTGTACATTCTGATTATTATCTGCAAGTGGAGATTTAAACATACGAGGACAAGTCAAGGTCCTGAATCCGAGTTACGTTACCTGATATCTATCTATACTCTGACTCGCCTAACGGCAGCGGCCCTGCAGGGCTCACCT